AAAATCTTAAAGTGCATCAGACAAGGATGAACCTATACGTTTGGAATGCCATTTGAAAATTGTCAGACTTCCCGTTAATAACAAATTATGATATGAATTTTTTTATTAGCTAACCCTCCAATATTCCAGTGCATGTTGAATATTTTATTTTTAATTTTTCAACTAGCCCTCTAACATCCTCCCTTTCAATGAACAGATTTAAGATAGTCTTATTGTAAATGCATTACATTAAACACCAGAGATATAAAATTCCACTGGAAAGTCAGACACAAATTTGATGAGCACAGGCAGAGATCAACTCCTAAAGACCAACTTTTGGCATGCTAGTCTAGCTCTTACAGGAATGAATGGACAACGAAGGTCAATTTTAATACTCAGATAATGTATTCTTGTACCATGACGCCCAATCTGAATCATCTCTTGAAGCAAGCAGACCAGTTCCATCAGTGCTTATAGACTCTGCACCTGAACAAGATAGCAGACGTGGAAATATTTCTTTGCCCAACCCCTCAATTCTCAGCGCTTGATCATCTGTTTCAGTGATTTTCACATCATTATCCAACTTTTTATTATAATCTGCTTTGTCATTTATTCAGGACCATGATGGATTTTTAAATTGTTGCTGTTACAGTAATTAGAAAGGTCTTCTTCATCAGACAAGTGTTTGCAACAATCAAAGTCATCTATCTCATAAAGTGGGCTCATTACCCCTTCCCTCCATGATATCCTCATTTGGGGCCGTGATGCTCTCCTAGTTGTAGAACTAGATAACCAAGGAACCTGATCGTCCAAAAATTTTGAAAGTTTACAGAGGTCAATTGAATCAGAAGGCAGAGCTGAGCAATCAAATTGGAAACTTGAATTAACAGAATCCTCAAATGGGACAGGCATGAAGCTAGCTGATTGAATAACTTCACGTATAGAATGAAGGCCAAGCTTACAACTGTCTTTCTTCAGATGGTCTCCATGCACCCATGGCATGCCAACATGGATATCTGAACTAGAGTTTGAAATAACACAGGTTTGAATTGAAGGTGCTTTACTGGGACTTGTATTTGAGTTCTCTTTAACATCACCATCGTTACCTACAATATCCAAATGTGGCTTAGACGATCTTTTACTAAAAGGAGTCAAAGTTACTTCATTATGACAGGATTTGAGGTGGGGACACTCATCGTCTTTGTCATTTATCCTCTTGAATCTATCTTCCTGTAGCTTTGACTTTTCAATGGAGACGGCAACGTAGGAAGAAAATTGCAATGGTCATTCAGAACAGAAGAGGACATGGATTTTTGGCCAATTATAGAACATGATTTCTTCCCAGGTTGCCTCTGATAAAGGCACGGAGGATTCTTCTTACATTTCTGAGGCTTCTCTGAAGTAAGTTTTTGGTGTGCTCCCCACTATTACCTTTTGCAAGGTTCTCTTTAGCTTTAGGCTGTCTCAAAGGAGGCACATTGGGATTGAATTGGGAGTTTTTGAGACGTATTTTGTTCTAGAGGCAGAGGATTTTGAGGAAGAGGAAGAAGAATAGTGGGAGCGGAAAAATCTGAGGCAACCTCTTGAGGCTTCAACAGAGATGCCGGAAGAATCACTGCTATTGCTGCTACCAGAAATGCGGCTCAGATCCTGCAATGGGCTTCGAGGACTTTGCTTCCTCCCTTGCACTGACTTTGCAAAGGATCTTGGAGGTGCTGCTGTGACAGGAGGCAAAAAAGGGTTTTTCACTGAAGATCCTCGGTTCATGGTGAAGCCCAATATCAGGTTTTATCATGGCTTGGGAGCTTATTGAGTCAGAGTTGGAGTTGCTCATCTTCTTCAATCCTCATCATATAACAACAATGATACTACCTCTGCTGTATAATACTACCTGCGGCTTAAAATAAGTGTAACTGTCCGTTTGACTTTTAAGTTGATCTTAAATATAAGATACCAATTCATTTTGTCTCTTATATATATTTATTTTTTCTCAAGGTACAACTGGTAATTTCAGCAAATATACTTAATTAACAAAGATAGTTTAAGAAAGACAACATATATTTCTAGCCACAGGGACCATGATTAGTGTATGTTAATTTCGGAGATTTCTTCAGGACATTCCTGTGCCTTTGAAGCAGCTATTTTTTACTTGGAAACTACTTCATAATGTTTCTGGTTGTCTACCTATGATGTTCTCCGAAAACACCATCTTAACACTTCTGGCTTTTGTCTTTTTGGCTTTGTCATCTCTTGTCCATTCATAAGGTCATTCTAGCTTGGTTTCCTACTTATTAGAGGTCATCAATCTAATTTCACCAATTTCAAATCGTGGCTAAAAGATGCACTAATGCATTTTCATTAAGATGGTCAGATTTCTCTAATCTATGAAATCACACGTCTTTTAAATATTCTTTGGCGCAAATGCAACTCTGCCCTTTATTGAGAAAGAAATAAATGGATTATTAATTATTTCATTTTATAGAAACGACTTTTTTATAAGTTGAGTGAATTAATTTCTAGTAATTATTCAATGCTATTATATTTGCTTGATTTTGTTTTGTAGATTAGATTTGATATTTTATATATTTTATTATATATATCTAAATAACTTTAAATATTCATGTAAGAAAATAACTTTTTTAAAAATCAAAATAAAATTAGGAGATTAAATTAAACACAAATACTTAAATAAAATTAAACCTGAAAACTAGAAAGCACACGCCGCGCACGCATATATATTTACACGTAGATGAATATGTTATATTGTTCATAATTTTATTGCTCCCTTGTACCTTATTATAAAGAACAACTATTAAAATTATATGATTTGAAATATTAATTCAATTTATTTAAAAACAATAAATATGTAATATATATATATATATATATATATATGTTTGTCTAATTTTAGCTCTATTTATAAAGAAGCTACATGAGAGATAATGGGTGGAAAGTTATTATACAGATAACAAGTGATATATATTTAATGGGATAAAAGTAAAAAGATTAGTTTAAAATTTGAGACAAAAAAATTTATTTGTTATATTTTGAAACATCACTTTAAAAGAGATTATTTTTTTATAAAAAGAGACTGAGGAAGTATATTTCTAAAGTATAGTCTGTATACATGACACACAAATACATATGGACACATACGCACAAAGGCGTACAAATATCTCTGGTTAAAAAAAAAGGGGGGAAATTAGGGAGAAGGGCCTAAAAAAATTAGTATTTATTAAGAGGGATCTTAAAAATTGTAATTAATTTGAAAGACCAAAAATTAAAATAAAATTTTACAATTACCAAATTATCCATTGTCAAATCCCTACATTATCTCCAACACCCTCTTATCTTAATTTGACGATTAATTATCAATTGAACTTGATCTCTCTCTCTCTGCATATCTCTTTTTGATGCACCCAAAGTTTCTATCAATAGCAATCGTCTTCTTGTAAATCCAGAACAAAGAAGACAAATTAAAAAGAATCAATTAACAGACTATTTATTGGATGGTACGTATATTCTGAACATTATTTTTCCTCCCTTACTTTGTTTGTACTGGATGTTTTCTTATTTTCTCATGGCCTCTATATAAAGACTTTTTGGATGAATATAAAAGTATATATTTGTACTTTCATTCAATCCCAGCTATACATACATATGAACACAATCACGCTATCTATACAAAGCTTCTTAGATGAATGTAAATATAGTTCTTTCTGTTAACCAAAATATGAAAATCAGGTAAATAGTACAGCTTCGCAACCTAAGCTTTAGTAATAATTTTTCCAACCACATCGGAATGAGGGGCAAAATTGCAATCACGCAAGCTGGAAATTTTTCCAACCATATCAAAATGAAAGGCCAGTAGATGCAGATATGAATGACTGAAAAATAGGACTCTATTTTTTTGTTAATTGCTGTATTTAGTTTTTAATTTTAATGGGGACAATATAGTAATTATAAATTTATATTTTAATTGATAACTAATAGTCAAATATTGAGATAGGTGTTGAAGATAATGTAGGTATTTGGTCAGAGATAATTTCGTAATTGTAAATTCATATTTTAATTTTTGGTCCTTCAAATTAATTACAATTTTTAAGATCCCTTTTAATAAATACTAATTTTTTTATGTCCTTCTCCGCAATTTTCCCAAAAAAAAAAGTCGTACCAATCTTATCAACATATTGATATTTAGGGAAAATAACATAAAAAAAAAGTTAAAAATTGTAATATTCTATTAGAGGTCAAAATCTTAAGAGAGAAAATAATGTCTAATCTAGTATTTTGCAAATATAATTAAATAACAAATTTGTCATTATACAAAAAACTTATTAACAAACTGTGAACTAAGAATAACAATTATTGAACGACAAATGACAAGAAAAAAAATATGCTAACAATAACAAATTATTATTATGAACTGACAATAATAAGTATTCAACAACCAATAATAAAAAAAGTACTAACAATAAAAGTTTGATAGTTTTTTAATTAAAAAAAACTCATACAAAGATATTTTAGTCACTTGATTATATTTACAAAATTTCAGATCAGTATTGTTTTCTTTAATATTACAATTTCCAACTCCTTTTCATGTCTAATATTTATTATTGTTTATAGAAAAATCCACTTATTATTCTTTTTGAGCTGAAAAATGCCCATATTATTCATATTCAAAAATTATAATTGTAACCACAAGTCTAAGTTATAAATGCACAACTAAATAACTATAAATAGTAAGATTTCTAAAAAAAAAAATAGTAAGATTTCTTGTAAGTACCCGGTCGGCTTCGAAAATTCAGTTATCCAATTAATATTAATACTAACAGTAAAATGTGTTGATCAATAAATGATATATTAAATTATTTTACAAGAATATCAACAAAATACAAATCAGAATCTTATGATAATTCAAAATTCAAGTTTCTAAATAGAGTAATTTCTGATCTAATTTCTAATTAATTTTTTTTTTTAAAAAAAAAGATAACCAGGCAGAACCCAGGAGCCCCAATTCCTTCGATCAGTCTTTCCCCTTCATCTCCACTGTTGTTTTCTTCTCCGACTTCGAAACCTAGCCACCGCAACCCGTTGCTCGCCTCCATTCTTCGCTGCGTCGACGCCGCTGTTTTGCGTCCAGTTCTTCGCCGAGTCATTTCCCTTATCTCCATCTCCAGATTTTCCCCCTCCTGGTAAGGGTTTTCGGTTTCGCTGACCATTTTCCCATCTTTTCCCATCTGGGTTCCTGTTGATTCTTGTAATTTGATATTGTTCAACTATTTGTCGATTTGGGTGAAATCAATTTTCTATTTTTCATTCAATGTTAATTGCTAGTTGCTTGGTAGTGGAAGGCAGTTTTGATTAGGTTCATCGTTTGGCCTCGTTTTGAAATTGGGCCAAAAGGAGTCGACGAAATTGATGTTACGGAGTGTGAGCTCTTAGGATATAGTTATTGCTGGGATTGGGTTTGATCTTTTCTGTCGTTCATTGGCATGATTGCGAGGGACATCAATAAAATTATGTCAATCATTTTATTGTTCTTTGTCTGGCACTAGTAGAGTAGATTCCCAATTTTCAAGCCACGATCTAAATTTCCCATTTGGTTGATTATGACGCAAGATAATGCTCATATCCGGATGTGTCACTGAAACTGAATTTGAATAGTTCGGAGTTCTTTGTTTCTTTTCTCAACTTCCCAACTTATTCATTGGCTTCACTTGGACCCTCACACTGAGTTTACTCTCCAGATTATGGTGTTCTCTGGCCTCTGTATTGTAAGCTAGTATAAGTAATGTCTTCTTTTAATTTTATAGTACATTTAACGTTGCTAGTTAGAATGCATACTGATATGAATATTATTTTCATAGTTGTTGTGTTCTTTGAATTAGTATTCGTACTTTATAATTTTTTTTCTTCATTTATGTGGATTTACTTTTTTAAAAAAAAATTCTATTATTTTGGGGTCTCTGTGGTAAGTTATGGAGCAAGGAGGGGTACGGTTGGTCGCACAGCCTTGCCACTTGCACTGTGACAATGCTATCATCAATCCCGTTTCCTTGCATCTCATAGTTTGTGAGAAAAGGTGTGGTGATGTTGTTTGGAGATAGTGATCCTTTTTAAAGTTTGATGATATCTTTGTTGATTGGATTCTACCATGGTTTAATAGCATCAACTCATGGTTTTTAGAGAGAATACACTAATGATTTTGTTGGGAGAACTGGCGATAGAGACTGGTGTCTCTTCTTTGCTTGTATAATTTATCAAAGCTTACTTAGTTGCTTAGTCTTTCTGTTAATCTCTGGGGATCCCCATGAACCTTTGTTTTGCTCAATTTTTTCTAGGGCTCTTGAAATTTGCGCTGGAGTCTTGGCATATCTTTTTTGCACAGCCATCCGACTTGTCTGTCCTCATTAGGCTACCATGCAGGGGAATTCATGTTGTGAATCACAAATTTGTCTTTGGAGTTTTCTTTCCTTTGCTGTGAATCAGGTATTGTGCGAACAAATCCTTGCACTTGTAATTCTTGTTTTTCTTTTTCTGGAGCTTCTTAATTCATGTTCATTCCTCTATCTCTTTGCTGAAATGTACTTGTGGGTTAAATTTTTATTTTATTGAGGCTTAAGATCTAGTCATTTATGATATTTGTATTCTTTGTGTTAGGATTTTGATTGAGATTTGTTTGGTGGGCAACAAATTTTTGATATTGGGCTATTGGAGTTGCACTTCTTCTGTGAGTAAGATTTGGCAGCCGTTTGGTCTTATGTGCCATGGCAATTGAGAAGAACAACTTTAAGGCATCAAGGCTTGATTCTGAGTTTTCACCCCACAGTAGGGAGACTATGTCTAGTGATGAGGATGATCTTCAGCGGCGTAACTCAGCCGTGGAATCTGATGATGATGATGAGTTTGATGATGCAGATTCTGGGGCAGGGTCAGATGACTTTGATTTGCTGGAATTGGGTGAAACTAGAGCAGAGTTTTGCCAAATTGGCAACCAGACTTGCAGCATCCCGTTGGAATTATATGATCTTCCAGGACTTGAAGAAATATTGTCAGTGGATGTTTGGAATGATTGCTTGAGTGAGGAAGAGCGATTTGAACTTGCCAAGTATCTTCCTGACATGGACCAAGAGGCTTTTGTTCGAACCTTAACAGATCTGTTTACTGGTTGTAACCTCCATTTTGGGAGTCCCATTAAGAAGTTGTTTGAAATGCTTAAAGGGGGCTTGTGTGAACCAAGAGTTGCACTTTACAGGGAGGGTTTGAACTTTTTCCAGAAGCGGCAGCATTATCATCTACTGAGGAAGCATCAAAACAACATGGTTGTCAATCTCTGTCAGGTAAGGGATGCTTGGCTTAATTGCAGGGGATACAGTATTGAAGAAAGGCTTCGTGTTTTGAACATTATGAGAAGTCAAAGGAGTTTGATGTCTGAGAAGATTGATGATTTGGTGGTTGGTTCATCAGACGAAGACTCTGGTGAAGGGATATGGAATAGAAAGAACAAGGATGGGAAGAATATGCAGAAAATGGGTCGTCATTCTTCTCATGGGGCAGGTTCTGGTTTGGAATTTCACTCACGAGGACGATCAGTGGGTGTGGAACCAGAAAAGTATGGAAAGCAAAACCCGAAGGGCATGCTTAGGTTGGCTGGATTAAAGGCATCTACAGCCAAGGATCCAGCTGGTTACATGTCTTCTGGGTACCATGGTTTGGATAAGAATCCTGGGCTAAACGGTTCGACAAGTGTGTTTCCTCTGCAAAAGTCTGCGGCTTATGATTCGGGGTTGATGATGAGGATGAGGGATCATATGAGGAATGGTGATGCTGCTGAGGATATGACATATGAACTTGGTGTCCCGCAAGATCGAAATGCATTGCGTGGCAAAATGACGGATAAATCTGGTATTATGAGAATGGGAAAGAGGCATGATCTTCTTAGAGGCGATGAAATGGATAATGACAATATAATGAGTCTATCTTTGTCCTCAAAGGCCGATCTGCATACTTACTCTCGGAATGCAAACCAATCCTCAGATATGAAAATGTTCACAAAGTCATTATCTACCAGAGGTTCTTATGATTTTTCTAGAAAGGCTAAGCATACTGAAAATAGCCAACAATTTGTTGATGATCAAATCAAGCCTAAACTCAGGGGATCACAGCTCCCACCTAAAGGAAGTCTTGTTGATTCATTAGATCATGATGAATTTTTTGGCACCAGCAAAACCCCTGGAGATGAATCTGCTCTGGATTCATCATTTCAATATGATGACTGGAATTTGAGGAGCAAGAGGTGGAAGGCAGGGAGGGAGTCTCCTGATCTCAGTTATGCTGCTTATAGATCTTCTTCACCCCAAGTGAGTGATAGACATGCGCTCACTGACTTCAGAAAAAAATCATTGCAGGGTAAGGTTAGAGGGGCTTTTGTACAGAATGGAGGACAAGATATGTTGGCTTCAAGAGGCAGGAGGATGCTTCATAGAGGTGAAGAAACCGAATCAGACTCATCAGAACAGTTGAATGATGATGAGGATGGTAATCCATTGTTGCAGAGCAAATTTCCTTACTCAGTTAATGATGATTCTCGCATGACAATTTTGAAGTCCCGCCTAGAACCCAAGGAAGCAAAGTTTGTGAAGAAAGACTTCAAGGGACATGGGAAAGCAAAATCCAAGAAGATGGGTTATTTTGGAGAGAATTCTCTGCCTGGTGCAGAAAATTTCATTTCAAAGGAAAAACAGAAAGGTAAAATGCGCCAAAGTGGCCGTTTGCATGATTTTGCCAATAAACTTTTGGAAGAGAGCTATCCCTCGAGTTCAGAGAAGCTTAATGATGGTGATGATGATTGGAGAGAAAACTACAGGTTGGGCAAGAATGGTCGAATATCACAGGAACCCATTGAAAGGTTAGACATGCCTTCTTCAAATGCTTATAGTTATGAGCTAAAGAAGAAAGGGAAGGGAAGAACTGAGTTTGGTCGCTCCATTCTCAGGTCTAAATACTTGAATGATTATATTGGTGATGAGGAGAATGACTCACATGAGGCACGGTTGGTGGTGGATGATAATGGGGTTGGTCAGGGCAGAGTTAAGAAGAAAGGGAAAAAATATGGATACAAGGATGACCAATATGGAAAATCTGATGCGCAATTTCTGGCGTGCAACTCGGTGACAAAGAAGTGGAAAATGAAGGATGATGCAGCAGATCTGGATGGAAGAGAAGGGGATGCCAATCCTGTGTCTAATTTTCAAACTGATGATTCAACATCTTTCAAAAGAAAGTCAAAGAGAAAAATGGAGATTGAAGCAGCTAGTTCGGATGTGGATATTTCTGAACTGCCCATTGCAGATTTGGGAACAGCAGATACAGAGCTAGAAGCAAAACCGCAGAAAAAACCATTTACTTTGATTACGCCTACTGTTCATACTGGATTCTCATTTTCTATTATACATCTTCTTTCTGCCGTCCGTATGGCAATGATTGCCCCTCTTGCAGAAGACAGTTTAGAGGTGGGAAAACCTAGAGAAGATCAGAATACAGCACATGTAGGTACTGCTAATGGTATCCCCTCTAATGAGAAGATGGCCACCAATTCTGAGCTTGCTGGCCAAGTGAATACATCTCTTACTGTCCAGGAAATTGTTCACCGTGTCAGATCTAACCCTGGTGATCCTTGTATTCTGGAGATGCAAGAACCTCTGCAGGATTTGGTCAGAGGAGTTTTGAAGATATTTTCCTCAAAAACAGCGCCATTAGGAGCGAAGGGTTGGAAGGTGCTAGCAGTGTATGAAAAATCCACAAGATGCTGGTCATGGACTGGTCCAGTTCCTCATAATTCATCTGATCATGATTCTATTGAGGAAGTGACATCTCCTGAAGCTTGGGGCCTCCCTCATAAGATGCTTGTTAAGTTGGTTGATTCCTTTGCCAATTGGCTGAAATGTGGTCAGGAAACACTTCAACAAATAGGAAGTCTTCCTGCACCACCTTTGGAGTTGATGCAAGTCAACCTTGATGAGAAAGAGAGATTTAGAGACCTCAGAGCTCAGAAGAGTCTTAACACTATTAGCCCCAGTTCTGAGGAAGTCAGGGCTTATTTCCGCAGGGAGGAAGTTCTTAGGTACTCAATTCCTGACAGAGCATTCTCTTATACTGCAGCTGATGGTAAAAAATCTATTGTTGCACCCTTGAGAAGATGTGGTGGTAAGCCAACATCCAAAGCCCGAGACCATTTTATGTTGAAACGTGATAGACCACCGCATGTTACTATCCTTTGTCTGGTCAGAGATGCAGCTGCCAGGTTGCCTGGAAGTATTGGCACTAGAGCTGATGTTTGCACATTAATTAGAGATTCTCAATATATTGTTGAAGATGTCTCTGATGCTCAGATTAACCAGGTAGTTAGTGGGGCCTTGGATCGGTTGCATTATGAACGTGACCCTTGTGTGCAATTTGATGGGGAAAGGAAGTTGTGGGTTTATTTACATAGAGAAAGAGAAGAAGAAGATTTTGAGGATGATGGCACTTCATCAACAAAAAAATGGAAGAGGCAGAAAAAAGATGCTACAGATCAATCTGATCAAGGAGCAGTAACTGTTGCTTATCATGGGACTGGGGAGCAAAATGGATATGACCTGTGCTCAGATCTCAATGCTGAGCCATCGGGTATTGAAGATGATAAGGGAGGAGAGCTTGTGTCTGATGATGTGAGGCTAAATGTGGAGGACAATATTGATACCAATCTTGCATCTGAACAAGGCAATGTTGGTCAGGATAATTCAATGGATTGGGAGACAATTGGAATAAACACAAATCGTGAGAGTAAATTGCTGTGTCAAGAGAATTCTGCAAATGAAGATTTTGATGATGAATCCTTCGGAAGAGAGAGGTCTGTTGGACTATCAAGTGCGAGCCTATTATGAAGAACTCTTAAGGTAGTTCTCATCAATTTAACTCTTGTATGAGATTTGTTTTATTTTACTCTGATTGTATTGAAAGAATAAGTGTTTGCTTTTTGCCTTTTCTCTCTGGAAAACGGAAAAAATAAGTAAAAGAGAGAATAAATGCAATATCAAAGGGGAGGACAAGAAAATGAGTGCATTACTCAGAATAATTTTCCTGTGATTTTATGAAATTTTCTGCGCTGTCATATTGTCCTTCAATATCATATTGGTTTAATATCTTTTGGTCTTCTTATTCACTAACGGTTACTGAATTTCCACCATGACAATTTTAACTTTTCTTTCTTTCATTTATTGTCTTATATAGTGACATATAAAGTGAATGAATCATACATACTAGTGACTTGTGGAAAAAAAATAATCAGGAATTCATTTGAAGCTTTCACTACTTGTTTAAGCTTAGTGCCCTTTTTACACAAGGTGGCCTAAAACAGTTGCCTTGATGTGACCTGATCTATGGAGGTCTATGGAGACAAAGTATTGTTTCTTTATGGGTTGTTCTTTAGTTTTTTCCATGGGCTATTTTTCTCTCCTTCCCATTGTATAGGCTGAATGGTTTAGAGATGCTATTCAGATATTGGATGCTTCGCTGGGATGATCCATGTTTACTTTGAATTTATAACGCTTAATAAGACCACTCAGTTATGAAGTTTACTTATGAAAGGCAATTGTGTTTGTGCAGTCATCAGCCTACCAGCACTGAGGAGCTCAAATTCCCTTTTTCTACATGTGCTTGTAAATATTTCAGGTGCAGTAGCATTATATATTAATTTTATTTAGAAGGATAGAATATGTATGTTGTTGAAGATGATGGAATACTATTAGGTGGATGCCTTCAGCTTCACATCCCAAAAATAATTTCTTTTGAATCTCATTATGTAGGATCTGGAGTATAGTTCCTTTTGTACACCGGAGGACCGTGGAGCTGAACCTTGCACTGTATTGCTTCACAATATTATTATTTCATCTTGTATATATGATTCAGTTAAGAATCTTAAGATCGTGATACTGCTACAATAAGCTTGTGACTTCTAGCCGAAGATAGAAGAGGAGAAAATTTGAAATACTCTCAAGTCAAATAGCCTGGTCAGATTTTAAGACGAGATTTATTAGTCATTGGTTGATTGATATTGATATTGATATTGTATATGCCCGAGAAGCATGCCCAAAAGGAGAAAAAAAAAGAAGGAAAAAAAAAAAAAAGTAAGCTGTAATATCAACTTGAGTTCAAGTGACAAACTTAATTTTTTCCAACCTTACAAAAGAATGCCTCTCTCTCTGTCTCTCCATGTTCTTGAGTTGCAGATCTTGTTACTTTACAGATTGCTGCAACAGTTTGTGCACAACTTCGAGCTGTTGAGCTATCTTGAGCCCGACCTTAAATTTGGGTAAGTATTCTCTCTCCATCTTTTATCTCAGATGTCAAAATGAAGGTGCTGACTTATTGAAGCTCCAATAGTTTTTTTCTTTTAAAAAAAAAAAAAAAAACAGAGAGAACAAATCTAATGTACTGGGGATTGGAATCTATTTGTTGTTCTCCTGGAATAAAAGGCTACGCCAAAACCACACAAGAGAGAAAAATAGTATCTGACTACTGACTGCTGACTACAAGAGCATAAGCTGGGAAATGCCTGTAGCCAACGGGGCTTGAGTGAGAACCATGTATTCTGATTCTATTTGATGACTTCCTTTGCAAGCCAATTCGTGTAGAAAATTCTTTTCTTTAAAGCCGTGATCGATGTATTACTGTCCAGTTTTGTATTAAATAGTGCCTAATTTCATTAAAGGCATGGCGGTGCTGGTTGTTATCTGTGTTAGCAAATAGGCTTGAGCTTGACACTTCTGTGTAAGCATTCTGTAGCTCTTATTGTAGCTTAATAGGGAATAGGACGCATAGTAGTCATTAGGAATAGTAAAAGTGGAACTTGTGTATCTTGTGCTCACCGGGGGAAAAAAGTGGAACTTGTATGCCTTCTCATGTGCAGGGAAAACAAGATATTATAAGGTCTGGGAATTCTCAGTAATGTATGTGTAGTATAGCTAGTTTATAATTATTTAATATGACATTGGATGGAACTGTTAGAATGAAATGGTTTTCCATTCAAAAAAATACTAGAAAGTTGGACGTGTCCAGATTGTTTAGTCAATGTTCAAAAGGAGTTTTTAAACTCGTTGGATGAGATTATTCTTTGAATTTTTTTGACGATAAAGGTGCTCTTACAAATTTAAGCGTATTTGAAATATTTTTATTGAAGTTATGTTGACAGTATTTTTATCAATTGAAAAATATTAAAGACACGTCCTGTGATGTATTTTCCCCTCCTCCTGAGTAATCGCTATTTCGAGATGGGAGTAATAGAATTTTTCAAAGGGCGAAGCACTTTTATATTCATGTCAAAATTAAAAGCACTCTTATGTAATTGAGTTATTCCAATTATTGAGTTGATTTTGGTCTTAAATATAAAATTTATTTTTTATATTTATTAATTTTTTTAAAGTACTTTTACGAATACTCCAACTATAATTAAGTAGAAGAGAGAGAGGGAGTATTAAGAAAGATGATTATGGTGTTTTAGGAAAAATATGTCATATTTTTTATAATTAACTGACTTACCTAATTTTCTTAATCTAATTAAATTAGTTAAATGGGTCTTATATTAAGAATCAGAAGAGTATGTCACTTAATTTCTCGACTGTTCATTTTGTGTTTCCAATTTTGCTGGCTCTCCGTCGTTACATTTTCACACTCAGTTGGGTAATTTCGACTTCTTGGAAAAGTAGTTAGAATGGTCCATATGCGGGACCTTTTATGGTTTGTTCATTTATATTTAGATATTTCTTTCGAGTTTCTGACCTTTACTTGGCGGTATTAAAGAATTAGATGGGTTGGGTTCAAGTTGAACTGCTATTGGGAATTAGAACAGATTTTGGGCCACGGGGGGAAAAAAGGAAAAAAGAAAATTCATTCTCTCATGAGGCCCAAAACATTTTGATATCTTTTGTAATTACATGCTGTTATTTTATTGAAATTGGAAATTTTATAGGAAAAATTTCTTTAAAACACACTTAAATTGAATCATTAAATTTGTCAAGCTTCTAACTAGGTCACATCACTCAAAAAGAAATTTAAAATTTTATAAAATAAAAAGAATTTTAAATTTAACATATTTCATTTTAGGGTTAGTAAGTTTCAATTCTAAATTAACAACTTGCTTTTCCTATTAGATTTTATCTTATTATATGTGTATATAACTATTTTTTCTTAAATTTATTTAATTAGTATGTGATCAGCTTCGCCATCGGTCTAATTAATTAAATTTTTTTCTAATTCATGTCTAATTAATTGATGTCCCGTCCAAGCGTGAAACATTGGGAAAATCTTTATGTGGTGTGCCTACGTTATACAATGGTATGTTTCTTTCAGTTTTATATATAAGCTTCAAATTTAAAAAATAATGCTTGGATTTGTATTGACATTAAATGCATATTTTTCAAGGTTACCCTTAATTATTTTTTTAATCATATTTTTCTATACATTCTCTTTCATCTTTTTTTTCTTATTTATTATAAAGGCATATTTAAAAACAAAAATATATTTCTCTTTTTTTTCTGGCCAATAACAAAAGTCTACTTTAATTTATTTATTGTTTTTAACTACTCCTCCTGTTCTTAATATAGGACCCAATTATCATATTTATCAATTTTCTCTAAATTATCTTTATAGATACTCTCTCAACCATAATTAAGTAGAAAAAGAAAATGAGTATTAAAAAAATGATTATGGTGTTTTAGAAAAAATGTGTCACATTTCTTATAATTAACTAACTTACCTAACTTTCTTAATCTAATCAAATTAGTTAAATAGGTCTTATATTAAAGACTGGAAGAGTAATTATTTATTAGCCATGAATTAGTTATTTGAGGTTTATAATAAGAACGGGGGGGAGTAGTTCCGTAACCATACCTAACATGACTAAATGAGAAGAAAGATATACGAGAAAGCCGGAGGAAAGGCGAACATAATATAATATATTCTATCATCCTAACAAAAAGTTATATGCTTTATCAGCATAATTACCAACTAATTTGTTTGTTTTAGTTTCTGACATTTAAAAATTCATCCAAAGGTATGAGAAAGAGACATTGACCAAAAAGAAAAGAAGATATGAGAAAGAGACAAGAACAAATAAGAACAAACAATAACATTGTATATACCACATACGTAATTATTGCCATCACGTAATCTGATTTGTTTAAAAGGGGTTCATTGAGAATCTCACTTTTTTTAATATCTAATTAATAAACAGAATACAAATCAGATTTTATTATGTGGAATGAACCTATTGGAATTCGTAGAGTGTAATAGTTAATTAAAAATAATAATTGGTAGGGCCTAACATGATTTAAGGAACAATCAAATGAAGAAAGGCCGTAATATTGGATTGTATTATTCAATTTTTGTAGGCTTTTAGCTTTTGACAAAGATGCATAAATGATGCCTCAATCTATGCTATGTATATTCTTCCTAGTAGCTGGTCAATAGTCAACCGTTCATGTCTTATTTAAACATTGCCACATGGGAATGAATTTAGTGTCCTTCATTTCATAGATTCCCAATTTGACACAATCTCATATAAATTATTTATTTATTTTGATTAAATAATTATTATGGTCTAATCACGTCGTTTTAAGTCAAATAATGTCGTTTAATAAGTAGGACTTGAGCTGAGAAGGAGGAATTTGATTCCTCATAAAGTTCGAGTGTTTTACTTATAATTAAACATGACAATGCTCAAATATGGCTACCTATCAAATGATTATTTATAAAGAATAACATTAGTTAAAAACTTGTGTCAAAAAATTTATAAGTAAAATAAAAATTTTCTAGAAGTAAATTGGATGGGATGTTATAGACTATACTAATTTTATATTTATACTACATTGCGTCTTAAATATAAAATTCACTTTGTAGTACAAATTCGCATGGCAATGTATATTTTATATTTATTAGGACTGACGTTAATATTAATTATTAGTACACTGAAAATACTAATGACAATTTAAAAAAGAGATTAGGAATTTCATGAAATCTCTAAATTGTGAAAATTTAGTCTTGATATTATGTGTTACAATTTATTTATTTGTATTTAGCAATAACGTAATTTATTTAATTCTGTCATATTATTTATCTATTTTATTAAAGAATTATTGTCTCATAGAAACACCAAATACTATTGAGAACTTCTTGTAGAAAGGTATTAGTAATTCATGAATTCTCTAAATTGTGTAAATTTAGTTCTAATACCATATATTATGACTTATTTAATTTCTATATATAATAATGAAAATGGTCTCTTTATCCAATTGGAATCAATTCTATTCAAAACCTAAATAAGTGAATTTTACATGGGTTTCAAAATTATTAAATTAAGTTGGCTTATTTATATATATTGTCAAGTAATTTGTTGGTATCATAAAGAGTGAAGAATAGCAGACAAGAACTATCAAAAGACCCACATAACTTTCAATTGCTTACTCATTCAACTATTGTCCTTTCCTTTCCGCAATTTAAGGACCTACACAACACACACACACCTCTCTCTCTCTCTCTCTCTCTCTCTCTCACACACACACACACACAACCAGACACGTGTAAAAACGCAAGGATGCAAAGTCAAAACATTTGAACTCTATGTGCATATATGCATGTGATGTGTCCACACATTTGAAGTGGTTTTGGGGCCCTCCAAAGAGGGAGGATATTAATCGATTGCTTTTAAAACATTTTTCACATTACTTTTATTATAAATTTGAAAAGATAATTTAGAAAGTGTTAGCTTAAGAGTAATTAAGAAGATAATTATCCTTACTTGAAAAATATTTTTTGTAAACTATGATCACGAAGTGGCTTGAAATAAGGGTACTGAATCAATTGAAAAATAATGTCTAAGTGTGTTAGGGATATTGTCAAGCAAATAATTATTGAATACGTTCAAATTAATCAAAGGCTTGATCAATTTGTGTTGGATCTGAGGAACAAAAGAACAATTTCATGAATGTTAGCAAAGTTAAATATATTGATTGGTAAATTATGGGAGAAGCAATATCCATGGGATTTGACCACTCACTTTTGGCATATACTTTCTCCATAAGAAATCAAACTTCCAATTGAATCATGCCAATTAAGGTATATTGTTAAAATTAGTTAGAAGCTTTTATTTGTAAAAAAAAAAAAAAAAACTCTTACAAGAGCTAATATCTACCCCATTTGAGAAGATCACATATTATGTTTTACTAAATTTTGTAAGAGTTGTTTGATGGCAAATTTGTATGAGTTCTTATACTCCCTCAGTTCCTTTTTAGAAGATCTTTTTAATTGAAACTAGTCAATTATCTTAATGTTTTCAAAACTTAGGTTGACATTTCTAAATTGTCCTAAGTACCCTCCTCCAATCCTAAATATAGAACTTTTTTAAAGGTTTTTGTTTTGATCCTTATGCAAGATGTAGTTCACCTTTGTCTATCTCAAACTATCTCTATTTAACGCCCAATCCTTTTCCCCATTTAACTATAACTAACAAATGTAGTCAATTAAATATAAGGGCAATTCTAAAACAGTCGTGTCACAAATTTTAACATATTAATTATAAGTAATCAATATACTATTTTTCGTAGTATTCATAAATTAGATAAATAGATTTTATATTTAATATCAAAAGAAATATTACTCCTTCTATGAGTACACTACTACTCCCTCTAGCTAGTCCTTATTATGAAATCCATTGCAAAAGGTATTTTTAGTTCATTTTATATATGGGCATTAATAGTTTCTATTAATACATGTGAATTAGTTAAAAACTACTTACTACCAAAAAAAGTTAAAAACTACTTAAAAGGAAGAGTACTCCCTCCATCTCTTATTATAAAATCCACTTAACTATATTACATGGCTTAAGAAAATTATTAAAATTAGTTAAAAGTAATAAATATATTGAAAATATACTTTTTTTCTCCAAATATACCCTTATTTATAAGTTGGTAGGTGGCATTGGGGAAAAAAACAGAGAGAATGTATGGAAAAATAATAATGAGAGAGAGTATATTATTAATTAAAGGTAAAGTGGGTAAAAATATATCTATTGTTTAGACAAATCCAAAAAAAATCTCATAAATAGAAACAAACCAATTCCAAAAATTAAAACTTATAACAAGGGATGGAGGAATATAATTCATTAATTCTTACCTCTAACAAATTTTGCCGATAAGGCATTATAGGAAGAACATAATAAATGCTTCACCCTTTTTAACAAAAGATCTTATGTCATCGATTATGAAACAAGAAAAGCTTTTAAAAAAAAAATCCATTCTATCTAATTCTAAATATAATACCTAGTTATCAAACTCATGAAGATTAAAAAAATTAATGAAATTAGTTATTTATTATTATGTAAAAATTATATTACTTTTCTTTAAATATTTCAGTTTTAATGAGGATATTAATTTGTGGGAGACAGAGAGTGAGAAAAAGATGGTGAAATTAATGAGGCTAATACAGAGAGAAAATAGAAGGGAAAGACATTGAAAATATTTCCACTGAAGAAAAAAAATTTTAAAATTGATAGCAACTTAAGGGGTTTTTTTAAAAGGCGTTTTATTTTGTTACTTAAATATAATTTGTTGTTACATGGTTCCTAAACAGTCTAACAAGCCGACCACATTTGAAATAGGCATCATCATGTTCGTGTGGGTAAAGTCTCAACTCTCAATCAATATGGTTTAACCAAAGTTTCAACTGCCATAATGATGTTTTTTCCCCTGTGGCCCTATCTATCACTTTTTTTTTTTAAAATAATAATCTCACTATTGAATTTCTTTTTGTTTTTTGGCAAAAATATTAATTACAATGTCCAGGCGTGAATTTATATATCGTTCTTTTTTGGAAGAAAAACTATATTATAAGTTCTAAAGTAAAAAGTGATCAGGAAAAACAAAAATGTATTATTATTATTAATAAATATAGTCATTATTTTTTTAGTAAAATAACGGATTTGTGCTTTTTACATAGTTATCATACTTTATAAATAATGACTTTTTACATAATTAATATCTGGAAAAACCTTAAAAAAGGAACTTAAAAATTAAAAAATTAAGCCTATTCATAAAATTGTTATCATTTACTAATATTGTAATAGTCCTCATTTACAATTTTTTGAAGGTTTTTTTTTTTGCAATTTTTATAAAAATATATATGCTGATACATGTTACTTGATTGATGGAGTTTGGGTCAATCAATTAATTAAATACCTTTCTCGCTTGAATGTCTTATCAAACATTCAAGTTATAAACAACTTTAACGAGGGATGTCTGGTTCCTTTATTCTTGCTATCAGTATGTTTCTCTTTTCTAACTCAGGAGAAAGAGAAGTTGGGAGGGAAATTCAATTAAAATTTGGTTCAAATGCCTACTCTGACCCCCAATATAGAAATTAAATAACCAATTCGTAAAAATAGAAAAAATAAATTTAGTTATGTGTTCAAAAAATGTGTATTGATTTTTTTTAAAAAATATGGATTATGATCATTTACATTAAATCTGCGGAAAATTATAAGTTTGAGGGATAAATTTTATTGATTTTTTATATTTAGGTCTAAAGCAGAATCCTATACTAGTTTGTATATTTAGATCTATATTTAAAATTTTCACCTTTCATATACATGTGTAACAAATATAGACATTTAATCAGTGAAAAGATTAACTTCATATGAACTTTTATTCTTTTATAGTTTCTGGTAAATGGTCGGTGTAAGTGGTTAACCATAATAAAGATTTCTTTTTTGTCAAATTGTAAAAGTAGTAATATAATAAAAGTTATTTTTAAATTAAAAATTTAGAAAATGACTCTGAAGTCATAGAAATGGTAAGAAAAGAGGGAGGGGGACAAAAAAAGGTGAACTGTTTTTTCAATATATTTCTATTCTCTTATATAATTTTTTATTTAAAATTACTTTTATCAAAGTTCAATCGGAGCTAATAATGTACGCAAAGCATTCAAATCTCAGGTTAAGAAAAATTCGTTCATATGAGATTTCAAAAAAAAAAAGAAGAAGCAAATTGTTTACATAATTCTTACATTTGATCGGATTTCAATCAATTAATTAATAATAGAGGATCTAGATCTTTGCGTTTTATTCCCCTATTATTTAAATAGATGCATTTATCTACTCAACAAATTAATTCGAGTTAGATCTCGCTCTAACACAATAAATTAAAGTTTAAAATTTTATAAAAGTATTCCTTCGATTTTAAATATAAGACCCCTTCTTGTAGTGTAAATTACACTACAAAAATAGTCTTATATTTAGGACCGGGAGAGTATATACTTATTTAATACTACTTTCGATTCTAATTATAAGATCTCGTTTATAGACTATAAACAAGATCTTATAATTAGGACTGAAGATAGTATCTAACAATTTCTCAAAAAAACCCTTTATATTTATAAACAAACTTAGAGTGTCAGAAGTTAATCCAACAGTCTAACCTCTAACTAACTCTTGTACACGAAATAAAAGTAAGTAATATATTTTTGTTATAAAAAAAAAAGTAAGTAATATATTTTAATCAATAATTGTTGATCTAAATAGCAAATGTTTGTTTAACTACCTGTATACCAGATTTTGGATTTGAGTTCGTCCAATTATCCAATAGTAGTTTTTTGGGAACATCAGAAAATAAATTCCCATTAAAAATTTTATTGTGAGAAGGACTTAACATAGAATACTAATATTCCATACAAACAAAATTTATAGGGTACTACTACTTTTATATAGACTATAAAAGTTTATCAAATTTTTCTCACCAATAAAACAGCATTAAAAACATAGGTCACTTTAGATACATTATTTTTGTACATGTCTAAATTAATATGCCATAACTTCACTTCATAGTCCACACCTGACCTCCCTCTTTTACGAAGTAAAGAATGGAGAGTCATTGGTCGGATTAGGTCGACGGTGAAAGGAAGTGGGGCCCGCTCCTTACTATTTATAGCCCTTTGCTTCTCGTTAACTGTTTCTCAACTATCTCCGTGACCACTCCGCGCACTTTACTCTTCCTTCCCTAATTAATTATCACTCTAAAAATTAATTAATTTATTAGTTTTGAGATTTTTTCCCTCAATTCATTTGCAAATAAGAGAAAATAAAACTTCGATTACTTATTTAAGTATTTGAGGTGTAAAGGCTTCTAAAACTCATACAAACTTAAATATTTTCTTCCATACCTCAATCTTCTATTTTCCTTGTTTAACATTTTTCAAATATTATTCTAATTAATTATTACATGTTGTGTTTGGGATAGAAGAAAACAGGTGTCAAAGACTCAAACCTTAATTTTTTTTTTAAAAAAATTGTTTTTGGCCAAATACAAAGCCTTCAAGTTTGTAGCTTTGTTGAATTGACCACCGTGATTTTTTGAATTGAAAATTCAATTAAAGTGAGAATTAGGTGGATAATTTATTATAATTAATATGATAAAATCTCTTCGGACCGAAGAAAAGTAGGGTAAAATTTCATTTTATTAAACGTCAACATAAGTAATTTATGGGTATTGTAAGAGGATTTATGGTCACATGTTACTAACAAATAAAGGAGTGTTTGGATAAAAACAAAACCATGGTTTCAGAAGTGCTTTTACGGATTACGAAGTAAATATGTGGAGGAGGTTACCTCGTTTTGCGGAAAAGTGCTTCTGAAACCACGGTTTCAAAGCATCCAAACAGGCCCTAAGAGCAAAATAAAAGTATATTTTAAATATGAAAAATTAATAAACTTATCTAATAATAATTGACCCATCATGGAACCCAGAGCCAGAAGAAGCCCATCTCATCAAATATAGTTTTTTTTTTTTTGGGTCAAAAACAATTCTTTCGCCATGTAGAAAGAAAATTTATTTTGAAAATAATATAATTTTTTACAACGAAAAAATAAATATTTTAAAAAATAATGATATTTGTATATAACTTATACTAATTTATATTTTTTTTCATAAAACTTATTCTTGACCTTTCACTTGTAATTTCCAGCGTTAGGCAAAAAGGAAAAAAAGAGCAATTTCCACATGAGTGGGCCCTCTTTCCCTTTGATTTATAATGAGTACAATACATACATACATGCTCTGCTCTGCTCTGCTCAGTCAGCGGAACCAAGCCTTGAAAAACTGAAAATACAAAAGGACGGCAGGGGAGGATGAGGACCTCACTGTAAATCATCTCTCTCTCTCTCTTTGTGCTTTTCTTTCTTCTGTCTCACTCATTAACCCCACACTCCCCGGCGCCATTTAGTACCTCACCCCTCACATTCTCTCTGATCTGTTCAAGAGATTCCTTTTCATTCTCTCCCCACAAGGTGATCTTGCTTTCCCTCTCTGTAATTTCTACTATTTTGATCATTTTTCTCCATTATTTCCTTGATTGCTTCTTAAAACTTTTCTGGGTTTCTTTTCCTTTCGACCAATTTCGCTTCTCCTTTATAGCCACTGGATCTTATTGTAAGTACTTGGTTCTCTTGAGGGGCATTTTGTTTCTGTGGCCGTGGTTGCTTAGTGCTTTTAACGGGGTCCGTTGAATTCAGCTAATGATGAAGCTCCTGCTCCTGCTCTGTTCAATTATAATTCATAGACGTCAACGTCAAGAATTTACAAGTGACTTTGAACTTAATTTATGAGGGCTTTCGTAGTTCATATATTGTTGTCTATTTACTTGATGAGAATTTGAGAATTCTTTGAAATATTTTGATTTCCAGTACAAAGGGGATTTTCTTTGATTTTCCTTCAAGCTCTGTAGTATTGAGCCTGAGACTCTTCTGTTTGTAGCATAGTTACAGGAAGGATATTTCGAAACCTTAGTGATAAAATTCATCCATTTTCTATTCTTTTTTCCCTCTCCAGATTTTTCATCAGGGATTCTTCAGTAACATTACTTATCTTGAACCGGGGCCGTAAAAGGAGGGATTACATATAGAATAGTTCAACGCTGGAACATGGCTGAAAGGAAATTGAACATTCATGCTCCTCTTATGTCTGTGAGACGCTCTTCTGCTACATCCCCTTCCTTAACTGAAGCGAAGAAGAAGATATTAGAGAAGCGAAACACTCTTCCAAACTACAAATCAGACTCAAGTATGGATCTGGTGACCGAGCCGGTCGCTGTTCCTTTCAACTGGGAGCATATTCCGGGACGGCGAAAAGGCAATGCTGGATCTCAACCTTCTCAGCCTCCTAAGGAGGCTTCAATGGCTCCAAGTCCAAGGCTTCCCCCAGGAAAGTCTGCAAATTCCACTAGAAAGCCAGTGGAAAAGGAGAGTAAAGTGACAAGCAGATTCAAGTCCACAAACAAATCAAACTCTTCCAATGTTAATGTTGTTAGATTAGATTGTCATAAAGAAAGAAAAGAGGAGAAAAGAGTATCAAATGTGCAGATGGACGACGACGTCGACGACGACATATTTTCTGATGCTCTTGAGAAACTGTCTCTCACAGGATCATTCTCCATGAATTGTAGTGCTAGTGGTGTGAGTGGATTGGATAATTTAGACGCAAAGAAGTCTGGGACTTTCTCTACAGACCCGCAAACACGAGACTTCATGATGAGCCGGTTCTTACCTGCAGCAAAAGCAATGACTTTGCAGCCTCCTCAGTATGCTTCAAGAAAGCATTCAGGACCATTAGAGCAACCTCGAGAAATTAAGAAATTGGTTCCTGAGGAGAAGAAGCCTTTGCTTAATAAACATGTTTCTGCCATCATACCGTATACTGGTCCACCTCAAGAGGAAGAAAGTGAAGATGAAGATAAAGATAAAGGTGATCGTTATGAAGAATCAGCAGATATTTCAGCTAAGGGTTGTGGGTTGATTCCCCAATTACGGATTGGGAATTCAATGTGCTCGTTAAATTCTGTCCCTGGAGTGAAAACGAGCAACCAGGCTCCCTTGGCTATCACCTATCAGGTTGAGAAACCAGCCAAAAGCTCAAATAGACGATCTTTTAGCCCAGTTCCTGCTGTAAAGAAGGTAACACGACTCTTATTGTCTGCACTAATTTGCATGCCTCAATAGCAGTTCAGGGTCATCTTTTGCGAGAATACACATGATATGGTCATTTCAGTTCCTTCATGCTGTTTATTGTCAATCAATGGTAAATTGACAATTAAAGAGATGCCACAACTTTTTAATAGATTAGCATCTTTTTTTTTTTTTTTTGGCAGGCTTGGGAAGCTATTTCTAAGAAAAAATCCAGCTCTAGAGCTTCATCACCTGAGAAGCCGGAGGTTAGGAAAAAATGGGCTAGTGAATCGAACAGGTTTAACTATTCAGGGGAACTGCAGCAGCCGGGTAGGTTATCTCCCTTCCGGCGATCACGAGCTGCTGCTGCTGGTTTATCTCCATGTAGAAGTAGACCTCAGTCACCATATTGTGGAGCGACAATGGACCCTAGAGAAGCTGTGAATAATCTGTCTGGTCAACTGAAATTCCTGCAGAAAGGCCATGTAAGTATTCAGAAGATGCTGTCTCAAGAAGGAAAGAAGGGCCTAACTGTTGAAAAGACATTGTACATAGATACTGCAAGTACGGTAAAATTATCAAGTGCAAATTCAAGTTCTGTAGATAACACAGAGAAAACAGACACTGAAAATTGTCCCAGTAGAAAATCTTCTCAAGATATAAAGAAACCAGAAGCTTTGGAAGGAAAAGGCATGTTGGATTCTGCAGATGCCAAATCTTCGATTCTTTCGAATAACGTACATACCAGATTCCATGAAGAAAAAGCGGAACAACAGTTAACAAATAAAAAGTTTAACCGGGAATACGCATCTTCCCTAGTTGTACATGGGAAAACTGGTGAAGATTCAAACATTAACAAGCAGCAAATTGTTGTAGCTGAGAATTTAGGAAACGGTAAAGTTGATTCTGGTCCGTCTCCTCTTCCCCCGCCATTGCCAAAATCGCCTTCTGAGTCCTGGCTTTGGCGTGCTCTGCCTTTAGTTTCTGTAAAGAGTTCATTACAGCATTCGCATCAAGGTATTCAACCACAGTCTAAAAGGCCAGATTCTAATACAACATCCAGCAATCCCAAGTGGGAAACAATAGTGAAAACTTCAAATCTTCATCATGACCATGTGCGGTATTCTCAGGTAATTTCATAACTCTTTTTGTCCATGTTTTAGTCTGGCTCTGTGATCAAACAGTGACCAAAGTTAAAACTCACATTTCACTCTCTCTACAGGAACTAACCACACGAAAATCTCAGCATTTGAAAGCCTAGCAACGGAACTTCATGGCCCATCTTTCGTGCTATAGTCCTTTTCTTTGTGTCCTCATGTTGGATATGCTCCTCCTTCTGCTGGTTTTCAGCATGATATCATAGATACTAGACTACATTGGCCTGGTTGATTAGGTTCTTAGTCTTATAAGAAATTTTAGTGGTGATTTTTCTTTCGCTTTGTGTGGGGCTGAGGACCCAGAGTTTTATTTTTCATCTGTTGACATATTATACTCATGTCCTAGTGACCTTTGTTTTCATTTATGTCTGCTTTGTATAGAGAGACATTAAAATCCACTTTGCTGATGAATTAGTAAAAACAGCATTTGGATTTGTCCGAGTCTTGGTGGATCAAAGTTTCTTAACTTGAGAAGATTGAAACCACCAATTTTGTGTGTACTTTTTACTCTGTTATCTAGTATTTTCGTTTCTCTCACTTCTTTCATACGTCTAGGTTCCATCATTTGGTCCTAAGTCTTCTTGTATCTGCAAATTTTCATTTCAACTACACAGGTGATTGATGCTAGTCAATGCTAAATTGTTCGATTGTATCACTCATTCCAATATGAACAATGTACTTGTCAAAGTGATTCTGAATTGAGATGAGTCTATATCTATTCTCTTGCATTTCTGGTGTTTCTTATGCTATGTTGCTGGTGAAGTGATTATCATTAATCTTACTTATGGTTTAGGATCCTGGATACATCATAAATAAGATTAGGGTATTGGATACAAATGAAAGAGAGTTTCAAAATGTTGGATGTTACTTTACCTATTAATAATTTTTACAATATTTTTGGTTTTTTAGATATTAATGCCTTTAATATGCTATGAACAATATGAGCTACCTGAAGTTGTCTATCCAAACAGAATTAATGGAAAACTCACGTTAAAAGAGCTATTCTCATTATGTATCTAAAGAACAGAACTAATGCTCATTTGAGTCAGTTTATGTTAAAATTTTAACCAGATATATAGTAATAGCTAATAAATAGAGATAAATAGTGTATAGAACTGCGGCCTAGTAGATGTTCACTATTTATGAATCTTGTGATGATGATGGAGCAAGATCGTGAGCCACAATAAGATAAAGATATCCTCTATGATCATGAAATCACGAGAGAAGAATGAAGACCTCAAGAACAGAGGAATCGGTGGTCCAGTAAAACTAATGTTTTTTTTGAAGGTATTCTTTTATTGGAAGTAATCATATTTAAGGCACTGTCAGGTACTAAATGTGGGTATCTCTCCTGACGGTGATTCAAACTTTGATTCGTTACGATATGAGGAACTAGTTTTTTCTGCTAATGTTAATGTTGAAGATATTTATATTGGATGACTTAAAATTTAAAATTATAATAAAGCACTTAAAATTAAAAAAAAAAAAAGGCAGAGACTTAACCAGTATAAAATTAAAAACTGTGTTAAGTGAAAGGTAAGGTCAGGCCAAAAAAAAAAGAAAGAAAGAGTGAAAGGTAAGGAAGGTGAGATGAGACTTGAGAGCGACTTGACGGCACAGTAAGGAGACGAAAGAGGAAACAATAATTAAAGAATGATGAAAGTGACAAGCCAATAACACAATAACAAAATGGTGTGCCCTATTTTGTATATTAAGATTCTGGACAAGCAATCATGTGGCCATCACACACACTACGAACCCTAGCACTATATATATATATATATATATATATAAATAGAGAGAGAGAGAGAGAGAGAGAGCAATAATGCAACGTGAAGACCCAAGCTTCCATATCCTCTCCATGAAAAATATTAGATTGAATACTAAGTGATTCAACATCCTTGGAACATTGCAAAATTTGAGGTTTTTTAGTGATAAAATGCTGCTTTCCTTCTATTTATAAACTTTTTTCCCGTAAAATTTTTTTTTAAGTGAGTTGGATTCTAGGGACACACCAACTAGGATATGCTTTCAGGTTTAAAGAGTACTTAATAAGGTATTTACAGATTGTCTATCAATAATATTCTTGCAGGTTATGAGCCGATTCTTTACCAATTTGACCAACTTTTATTAGTTCCTTCTATTTGTAAGTTATTATCAATATATTTACTAAAATTAAGAAAAATTTTAAATCAACTTCCCTCAAAATTTAACAATTTTTTAATTTTATCTTTTTTAATATACACTTTATAGTTTATACGATGAAAACAAAATCTACATAGGGCAAAATTATAAATTCATACAAAAAATTTAGTAATACTCCTCCAGTCCTAATTATAAGACCTAATTGACTTATTTGAGGAGATTAAGGAAGTAAGTTAAGTTGGTTATTTATAATAAATAAGTGTTGTCATTCCTAAAATATCCTTGCTAATTAAGTATATTGGCTAAAACTATCATTATTAGAAGGATTATCTTGGGAAAAAATGCATAAATATAAGAGACAAAATGGATTGGGGTCTTATAATTAGGACCAAATAAAAAGTCAAATGGGGTCTTATAATAAGAACCGGAGGAGTATGATTTATAAATGAGATAAAAAGAACAATATTTTTTCTGTCCCATAAATAGGACCAAAAGAATAATAATCCTTAATATGTGGTATCATTCATACCAACTAAACAACTAAATTTTATTTGAAGTAATGATCATTTCTTCATTTAAGACTAGGATAATCCGAGGGCAAAACAAGCGAAGCATCCCAATTATCATTTCTTTTGTCTTCCATACAAATTTTTTTTTAAAACCACCTTCATTATTAGATTTTAAATGTGTAAGCTTTGTTTATATGTAACTAATTACAACGAAGGGCATTTTAGAAAAATTAACGCATCTTTTTTTAACTAAATTACATGATTTTTATTAAAAATTTTAAAATTAGCTTGCAAACTTCTCCCTAAAAAGATCATGGGAAATTTTTTTTTATTTTAAATTTATTGGAATGAAAATTTGGTCGTTTACATGACTCAACTCAGTTCTGATCTTAACCTGTCTTAACACTTTGAGATGAGTTGGTTGGCCCATTAAAATGTGAGAATATGCCCAAGGAAAAAAAAAATCTAATATTTAAAATTCCAATTACCAGATTATTAGTGGTTGTGTTGAGCCGAATAAATTCGATTTCTACGTAAAAGAACTACCCCCCAATTTAACATATCAATGCATAATTTGACATTTCGATTTGTGGTACCAAATACTATATACCGTTTATAAAAAAAAAAACTGCTACATTATTTGTAATGTATTTGAATTTATTTCATTAAACTAATATATATATATATTTATATATAAGATTCATATAAAATCTTGTTACTTTTATGTCATGATTATTCTTTAGATTTGGTACATTGCATGGGGCCCACGTCTAATCTAGTCCAATTAATGTAATTTATATAATAAATCAAACTAGATCTTTTTTTGGCCAAAAATAAAACTAGATTTTGAGCATCATATAATCAAAATTCAAAAGCTACACTAATTATGGTTTTGAATCATGTAAATTCTAAATATTCTGCATATGGCTTATCCTTCAAACCTCTTATAAATAAAAGGAAAAAATGTGTCTACTCAATTAATATATCAATACATAACATAAAATTTATAAAAAGTGGATTATTTATAAGAAACAAATAGTACTACTATTATTTATTTTTGACAATTTATCGAAGAGGTGGGCATATCTATATAGCAACATAAAATATCTAACAACTTACATTTTTTTGGTAAAGAATATACTCCTTCCGGTCTCAAATATAAACAAATACTCTTCCAGTCTTTAATATAAGATCCATTTAACTAATTTAATTAGATTAAGGAAGTTAAGTAAGTTAGTTAATTATAAGAAAAGTAATATATTTTTCCTAAAACACCATAATCACTTTCTTAATACTCCTTCTCCCTCTTCTATTTGATTATAGTTGAGGGAGTATTCATAGAGGTAATTTAGAGAAAATTGATAAATATGAGAAATGGTATTTAGGACCAAAACCAACTCAAGAATTGAGTCATTTATTAAATACCAAAGGAGTATAATCATATTATAGAATTTAAGAAAATTAGTTATCTTTTTTTAATTATATATAAGATTAATATTTTTTCTTAAAACATCCCAATCGTTAATACTACCTCCGGTCCTTAATATAAGACTTTATTTGACTTTTATTTTGGTCATAAATATGAGACTCTAATTCACTTTATCTCTCATATTTATGTATTTTTTTCAAGATAGTCCTTCTAATAATAGGAGTTATAGCCAATACACTTGATTAGTAAGGATATTTTAGGAAAGATAATACATATTTATTAGAACTAACTAACTTAACTTTCTTTTTTAATCTCTTCAAGTTAGTCAACTAACTCTTATAATTAGAACTAGAGATAGTAGTTAATTAAAATGAATTTTTAAATACATGTGAATCCTCATCTGAAGGTAGAATTGAGAATCTTGATTGAATGCACCTCAAAAGGGGATAATTTACTCATATTTATGACAAAAATATTTTGGTAGTTTTTATTTATATTTGAAACTAAAGAGAGTAACTTAGTTATTATACTTTCTATGCAATGCGCAAAACTGACATTATTTATAATTTAAGAAAAATTAAATAAATTAAATAAATTTAGTCCCATGAAGTCAGGAAAGTGATGGAGGGCATTATTAATAAGTGACAGGTCAAGTTAACAAAATGCCTTAGCCATTAAGCGTGAGACTGAGAAGGCATGAATTATGAATGCTTAGTGGCCCTACTTGCAACCACTCCTTTCTTTGGATTAGTGGGGACTTGACATCCACATGTCTATCTCACCCCAAAATTATGGCAAAATATATCCAAAATTCAAATTATTTATTTTCTGTGACTTTATAAATTTTTATGTCAGTTTAAAATTGTAAATTACTCTGACCGTGTCTTTTTATACAAATATTTGATCAAACCGTATGAATAAAAAATCAGTTAAAATTAATTAAAAAAATGAATATGTAAAAATTATAAACCTTTTCTCAGAAGTATCCCTATTTACCAGGGAGAAAGTATAGAAGAGAATAAGAAAATGAATTGAGTAATAAGATAATAAATATATTGAGTGTTAAAATAAATAATTAATAAAAAAATTAAAAAACTTGTTTAAAAAATTTAAAACATCTTATAAGCGTTTCTTATGAATAAGAATTATAAGAATAAGATAAAGAGAACGCAAGAATAGCTTTTCCCCATAATCAATGAAGCTCACTCCACTTGGGCCTGATTGGTTAACATGAAAGCATGTCAGATGACAGCATGCCAATTTATAGCGTCCACCTAACTCTCCTCAGACCTCAATAATCCAGAGAATGTTTCTGCTATATCCACATTCCCATATTCGCAATGGTGCTAATCATTATTTACAATTTATCTATCAAAACTCCCTAGAAAGGTACAATAAATCAGGAAAAATTCACCCAAAAAAAATTGAAATTACTAAATTTGAAGTTAGGCTTGGTTTCAACTCTTTGATAGGTTTTGACCACACTGTATTTACAAATAACAACATATTTTTATAGAAATTTTTTACTTGGGATTTTGTAATTTTAAACTTGTTTTATGAGATTATCCCAATAAATTATGCAGTACTTAATATATATAATATCACCATTTATCATTCTTTAATAATCTCTTTTTTTTGCCAACACATCCTTCTTTAATTGTAATATAATATAAATAAAATATTAATATGCTCTTGAATCAAAATGGCACAAAAACATATTTAATGATATCAATACACCAACCAATATAAATATACTCTCTTCATTCCACAATATAAGTTGTTTTTAGAAGAATGATTTGGTTCAAAATATAAATCACTTGGAAAGTAATTAATATTTATTTGTTAATTTTGTCCATACAATCAATACTTAAATGTAATCCCTTATATTTTTCTCTTTCTTTTACAATCTTAAAATATGGGTAAAGTTCGTTGAAAAAAAGTTTTCAATTTGCGATGGATCAAATGAGTTAATAATTACTATTTTTTGTTCTAATAAATTAGTTAAACTGACTTATATTATGAACTAGAATAAATATATATGACAAAACATATAACGAACCATAATGTCGATAAATTACAAGTACAGTGATTTATTTTTCAAATCTCATACAATGTGCATGAAAATATGTTTATTCGATATATCATATGCAAACTCTTTTTTTATATGCTATTATCCAATTCAGGGTTTATGGCTATCCCATCCAGTATATATATCTCTTTTAGGACTTGAACTTGAGACCCAAAGGGATTTAGCAGGGTCTTATGTACATCACTAGACTAACTCTGTACTGTTTATCGTCTACAAACTCCAATAAGCCACCTTATATATAATTTATGAGCAATATGGCTCATTTTCATGACACTTTTGACGACTAATGAGTTATAATAGTTACGAGAAAAGCTCATCTCCAAACTACCTCACATCAATCTAATACATTATTATAATAATTGAACTACACAGTAAAAGTTATCAAACCCAATAAAACCTACACAGCATGCGAACTATGACTATAAAAAAGATATATATACATATAATAATAATAACAAAGGTCAAGCTTGTTTGCAATTTTAATTTCTATAATCAGTTTAGTTAATACTATCACTAATTAAATCTATTTCGCATCATGAATCTGTCAAGCTACAGGAGCTTCTGCAATAATTGACGCCTCACCTCACCCATATGAGAACATTCTCGCACGAGGAAAAAGAGCTGATGGGAACTCACTAATATTTTCAATCACATAGATTTGACTTTAAGGCCAAATCCTATTTCAAATAAGAGAAAAAAAAATGGATATACACTAGTTATCAGCCCACAAAATCAGGTCTTGTGACTCCATGTGTACCTGTATATTTTGTCTGTGAAAGATGATCTCTTAGTTCATTGTTGTATTTGCACTATTCATCACCATCATCACCATCATATATATATATATATATATATATATATTAAGAAAGGGAAAGCTTAGTGTTAATTTCTTGGGTCTCCTTGCAACGATCAGCATTCTGATAATTCAATCCCAGTTGCAGATCAGGCAACGATTGCTTTTCTTTCTCTACTTTCTCTTCATTTAACTGCAAATATTTCATCAATATTAATTCACCAATGCCAATCATTCATTAGTAATCAACTACATATCAATTCTACTTCTTAACTAATCTGCATACTAAAACTTTAGAAAAGCGAGAAACTATTATTAGCATTACCTTAATCCGAAATGGGGGCTCAAATTCTAGCTTCAAACTCTGAGAACTGTTGCTGGTATTGCTCTTGAAATTTCCAAAACTCCATTGATCAGGTGGCTCATGCGTAGTGCCAAGTTGGTGAAATCCAGATTGTGAATCATTAATACTAATATTAGTATCTGCCCAAGTGTTAATAATATTACTGGTCGGAGGCATTTTCTTGAACTTCCAATAATAATGCTGATTATTATTGTTGTTGCTGTTATTACTAGTAATTTCTAATGGAGGCCACCTTTTCTCTTCCAGAAATTGGCTGGGTCTCATGGGTGCAATTCGGTCTGTCGTTGAGGGCATCATCATCATCACTTCGTTGTTTGTCACGCAACTTTGCCTTCTATACCACTGGTTATTGAAGTGCCATTGTTGGTGCCTGCAGTGATATTAATTATCAAGTGAGAGGAAAGTAATTTTAATACTATTTCAAATCCTTAATATAAGAGCTAGTTAACTAATTTGAGTAAATTAAGAAAATTAGTTATTTTAGTATTCCTAATAAATAAGTCTTGTCTTTCCTGATATACCCTTACTAATAATGTATATTAACTAGAACTACTATTTGATAAAACTTTTAACATATGTAATTACTACAAGGACTATTTTGAAAAAAAATGGATAAACATAAGAGACAAAATAAATTGGGATCTTATATCTAGGACTAAATTGAATTTCAAACTAATTTTTATGTTAAAGATCAAAAGAAGTACTATTAACTAGAGTACATATAAACCCATGCATTGTATGGAGCTTGATGTAGAGATCAGCAAGTGATATTGCTTCTGATCCTAGAAGCAGAAGTTAGACTACTAATTTACAGAGATTAAAAAAATTACTTAAATTAGTTATTCATATATAAAATGTGGGTAATAGTTTTCATAAAATACTACTATTGTCGTTTGCATTGTTGAAATTATCCTAACTGATGGAAGAGCCCCATTTAATATTGATAGTTAGGGAAAACAACTATACATAATTTGAAATTGACGTTTTATATTTAGGTTTAGAATTTTTAACAAACTTCTTAATTAGGTCTTATATTTAACTTATAATATCAGAACATTTTTTTTTGGTATTAGATTTTGTGGGGATATATTCTGAAATTTATCCGATATTAAATCTCTTCTCCAAGATAGGTTACAAGGATCATGCAGGTATGTTGATTCAAGATAAAGATGATTTGTGTCATTCTGTCTTGAACTAACCTGCACATATGGATTCCCTCATTTTCTACCAGAAAACTGAATTTTTTTGGAACAATCCGATCAACATATATATATATATATATAATGCCTAATATATATTATATTAAAGGCATATATATACTTGAACTGCGTAGTTAATTACCTGGAATCAGTGGCCATTGTATGGGAGTGCGAAAGAGTAAAAGAAGGCTTGGAGAGAGGATGATGATGAACAAAGCCAGCATGGTCGTTGGAATTGGTAGTTAGAATAATTCCACCATTTCCCATCTTCAATTGTTGCCTTGTGTTCACTGATTGATACGATAACTGAGACATACGACCACCTTGCGATCTGTACGTTTGACTTATAACTGCATTGTAAAACAATCCAACTAATTAACTTAATTACGTTTGACTCATAGATATATAGTGACTTCTATTACGTATAGCCCTAGAAAAGCCCTAAGCCCTTCCAAGTTGAATTTCACTGCCATTCCAATGCTTTTCAAGTAAGTCCGAATCCTTTGCAATATTCATAAAAGTGAAGATCAGGTACATTTGAAAAGAAATAAAAAGAAAGCTAAGGAGTGAATATGTTTAACTGTAATATGTGGACTCAATTGTCGTACGTACGTGTACGTGTGTATAATTGAACTTTAATTTGTTGAACTAATATTTGTAACCAGTAAATTAATGAGCTTAATTATATTAATATTTGAACCCCCGACATTATACTATAATATAAAATATTATAATTAGCATAATCAATTCTATTACTACACACACATGGAGGTATCGTTCTATTTGAGACACAACATCTTAGCTAATCTTCCTGTTATCTCCATCTCTTCTTCCCTTTTGTTGGCTTACAGTCCTTTATTTCGTGTAGTCTATTCTTGCTTGTAGTTCAGAGTCTATGTTTAATTTCAAGGGCTTGCCCTATTATATAATCATTGATGCTGAATAATCCTTAAAAATAGTGGGAAAAATCACTGTGCGCAGTCCCATATAAGCAATCTAATGACTAAAAACTCCATTAAGTCATCAATATGCTAGAGCTATCTTGTTTTTATTTCCTATATTGAATCTTGTTATTGCCATATACTGCTCACTTGTTGATGTGAAACATGGTTAGTTACTTTTTTGGGACTGCATAATAATTTTCCCAAAACAATCCTCTGGTCTTAAATATTGGAGTTATTTAAGGAGTTAAATTTGATAATAAATTTCATTTTATCTCTTATGTTTATTATTTTTCCCAAACTAACATATATAACTTACTGATACATAATGTTGGCGAAAGAAAAAAAAACCTACTGATACACAATGTTATATAAAGATAATTTAAGAAAACTATGTGACATTTATTACAATTAAATAATTTGTTTAACATAATATATTTATTTAAATTAATTAAATAGTTCTTACGATTGAAAAACAAAAACAAAAACAAAAATTAGAGGAGTGGTATTTCTATATATGACTAAGGGGAATAAGGACTGACGTTCTCTATTTTCCACCATCTTAATTGGATAGTAACTCATTATGCAGATCCATTAATATATGAACAGAGATAGAACATGATAAGAAGTTTTTAAGGTACAAATCGCATGTTCTACTTTTCAGTTTGATTTTGATGTGTCCAATGAGGCAACCAGACAAATCAAAGTTTAACTAAGTACGAACGTACTGTGAATTAATAGTATCGAACTTATCAGTTGTAGTCCGTACAACTAGTAGTCTATAGAATTTATTATCACTGATCCCTAGCTATAATATCCCTAAACCTAGATTCCTATCACTGATTAATCAGTAATTGTGATCCTTTTTTTAAATCTTAATAAGCGATCGACTGTTTTTGGTTTAAACAAGCATAAACAGATGGATATATATTAACTTTATCTCCGAATTCTCACAATCCAATCTAACATTAAGTAAGGTAAATATTTCCTATATATAGTTTATTTTATCTCAGCTAAATCAATTATTACAAGTGTGTATTAATGATGTTAGTTTGCTAATATTCTTTTATATGGCATGCATTCTTGTGTTTTGCAAATTGATATGTATAGATGAATTTTATGTAATTTCACTAGTAAGACTCTCCCCAGTTTGTAATAAAAGAAAATTGGTATAGCAATAATTTTTCAAAAAAAAAAAAAGATCTGACCAACTAAATCCTCTCTATATCAAGTTTTCTCTCTAAGTCATTTCATTCTATGGTTGATAAGATATTTGAAATTGCATTACTTAGATGTACTGTTTCAGTAAAAAAGGAACACAGGCGCATATATATAAGGTTCATGCGGAACACAGACGCACATAATTAAACTGAGATTAGGATATAATGCTCACCTTGGCCAGCCTCATCAAGTTTTTTACTCCGATACATCTGAAACAGAAAATGCAGAATTATATAATTAATTAATTCGCATAAAATATTAGTTACTATATATATTAATTAATTCACATAAAACATTAATTACTATATATATACACGTTACCTGCAAGTGACTCTTCACATGAGCAATGCTGAGTCCCCTCACATTCATTAGCTGAAGCACCAACTTGGGTGTTGCTCCTGTACAATCAATCTTTATTATTATTATTAAGGCAAAATTGAGAATTCACAACTTCCTATAAAACATGAATATGCTTTAAACAAGAACTTCAAAATGCTATATATATATATATATATATATATATATATATATTTATATCCATGAAAGGGTATCCTTATAAGTATAGATGATGTAATAAGATTAGATGCTCAGTATGATCACTAGAATTCACTCAAAACTACCTTTTGCTGCTATTCCCGTTGGCAGGGCCCACACAACCACTTTCACTGTAGCTCAATTGGCTCATTACGCTGTTTTTCCGAAACCTTCTTTTCATTTTTCCTTTTGAACAATAATAATATGTTTGGTTTCATGTTCAAGATAGTTTTAATATAATTTTCAACATAAAACCAAACATATACTAAAATACGCATATAATATTTGAACTTTTTCTCTCTCACACACAATGTATATGTATACGCATAGAACATAAATAAATAAATATATATATATACTTACTCTCTTGACCACCAAGGCGTTTAACAGCATGAACAAAAGAAAGATGAAGATCTGGAGTCCAGCGAAGCCTAGGCATCTTGGATCTGACATATTGTCTCACTGTGCCTTTTCCTTCATTTCGTTCTCTTGATGTGCTTCTGTTTGATGATGAAGTACCTTCATGTTCCTTCATTTTCTCGTTCTCTTCTTCTGCTTCTAAATCTCTGCGATCCTTCTCCTCCTCCTCTTCCTCCTCCTCCTCCTCCTCCTCTTGTTCTTCCTCTTCTTCACTGGTAGCTTCCTCATTCAAGTCGAACGATGAACACTTGTGGGAAGAAGAGCCCAGCGAAGTTTCCTCATCACACTTATTTTTTTCATTATAAATCTCGTGTTCGTCTTCTGACATGTTTGGCAGATCACACCGCCAAGTCTGATCCAACCTCTTTGTCCTTTAAGAAGTTTGCATTTCACTGGTGAAACATGGAGGCGAATTTATAAATGCCCACATTTATAAATATTAAAAAGGTTGGCATACTAGGCAACAAAGTGACTTAAATAAGAATATGTGTGAGGACAGGCTGTAATAGGCATGTAAAGTATTATTTATAACAACAACTAAGTTCTCCATCTACATCAATTAATATATGATTTAAAGATTTTTAAGTGCACTTAAAAAATAGCTGTACGATAACACTGTTATACAAGGTGATGGTAGATTTGCACTGTAACAACCAACAGTACAGAGAATGAAAACCCAGCTAGCGAGTTAATTAACTACTTTTCTACCTTCAAGTTGCGAGCAAAATTTCTCGTGAATCTCAGGTTTTGGGTCTCTCTCTCTCTCTCTCTCTCTACATATATATATATGTAGGACCAAGTGCTGACATATAACTTCTTCTTAATACCTATGAGTTCTTTTTATATATAACCTTCCCAATGGAACTTCAAATACTCGATACGCAGGAAGGAAAATGGAAAATTTCGAGGAAGAGACATCCATATTATTCATTCTCGAAACTATGAGAAGCTTTAAATTGTGTGCGCAAGCCCTTTCGTACGTTGAGGTGATTTTACATCTTCATCAGGAATCTCAACAAGAATAATATTTTCATTCAAGCACACTGACAACAAAGAGAGAAATAAACATTAAGGGAAAAAAAACAAAGGGGCTGAGAGAGAGAGGGGGAGAGAGAGAAGTGGAGGCAGCGATGAAGCGGCTCAAACTATGATACTTCATGCTAAACAGTTTTATGGTTAATCGAACAAACCTGCGAAAGCACTCGTCGGGAAGATACTTCGAAAAGACCACGTAATCATTGGGAATTTCTAAAACATGCTAATTTCAGCAAGCTGTGGTTCGGGTCTGAATTAAATTATAGATGTATTATAGTTTCAGTGGAAACCATTGAAGAATCTGCATATGTATTCAGTGTTTTGGGTCTAAATTAAAGGAAAAAGAACCATTATAATCATCAACTCTAAAGGATCAAAAGTGCATAACAAATACATATAATCCACACATACATGATAGTAAACCCAGAATCATTAAAGTGATATCTTTAGTTACTGAAAACATAATCGCAGGAATCAAATTACTCATAGCAAATATTGGTTGAGCCATACGCGAAGGAGGGCCGAGAGAGAGAAAAATAGATGATAGAAAGATGGGGAGAGAGAGATAGCTTGACTGGTACCTGGTTTAGGTTTGAGGGTTTCGGTATCATGCAGCAGAAGAGATAGAGAGATGATGAAGATTCAGATTGAGAAGAGTATAAGATATTAGGTTTAGAAAGGAGTATTTTGGGTTTTGTGAGAAGAGAAAGCTGATGGAGAAAGTTATAGGAAAATATTCGGACAGATTTCGTCTTCTCTTTAAAATTGTAATAAACTCACATAATGGATACAGATGCCACTGGTCCCTTTTTGTACTGTTGGAAATCATGTGACAATGCCTATTCCTTTGCCTCTCTCTCTCTCTCTTCTTTGACAGTTGGAAAAATCTACCTCTCTTGCTTCTGACCCTATCTTGCTTGCTCGTGATTATCTTTATTGTTTGACCTCTGTTAGCTACACACTTATTTTCTCTTTCTCTTTCTCATTTTGACATGGTGATGAGTGAAATGAAATTTCGATTATTTTCAATTTCACATCTCCAAATATGAATATCTCATTTAAGCCCTGAAATAAACATTTCGTTTTTCTTTAAATCCTCATTTTTAAAAAAAAAAAAATTTACCAACAGATATAAGTGAGATAACCTAATTAACAAAAAAATTGATGTATAGTTCTTAAGCGTTTAATTTTCACCGAAGATAATCATCCCAAAATATCTTTACAAGTATGAATGGCTAGTGATTATTATTAAACATTCATATTCATTTCTTGTTTGGCCAATCATCTATCTTTATTATTTGTTGATATATCAATATTGGAGTTAACATGAGAATGAAATTAAGGGTAAAGTTTTTTTTTAAAAATACTAAAATTATTACTTTTCAAATCTTAAAATACTAAATTAAAGGCAAAATGCATATTTAAATGATACCTTAACTTCAATTCATTAAGCTAGCTATAATAATTTCAACAAGTATGAAATTTAAAATATAAATCGTGATTTTTATAGTAGATATATTAATAGATATATTGTTGACTATCTATGTATAATGAAGTTAGCACGAGAATGATATTTATTCTTTGAAATTCTAATTAGATGGAAAGTTGAAATTTTAAAAGATTAAATATAACGTCAATTCAATAAGCTAATCTAGGTTATATAATAATGTCAATATGAATAGGTGAAAGTTGTAAGTATATTGGGTGGTCCATTTCTTTATCAACTCTTTCCATTTCTTCTCACCTAAACAAAGACTTTCTTCCCATAAGCGTCACTGTTTGTTTGTCCCTATGTGCTCAAGAGTTCTCAAGACTTCTACTTTTCTTAAATTTCTCGTTTTAAAAATACACACAAACATGTGCGCTTCTGACGCTTCATTTTTGGTCTGTTTTGGCAATGATTATCATCAGATTAATCAAACCTTAATAACATAGTGATTCCGAGACTATATATATATATATATATATATTAATTATTATTGTCTGCCAACAGTAGTCAAATTTGGAGGGAATAATGATGATCTAAACAAGAAAAGAATCATTATATTTTAGTCCTGGTTGCACTTTCAACAGGTATTGATGGCAATATACACATACATACATACATACATACATACATACATATAATTTCATATACACAAGTACATTTCACATATTGCAATTATAAAATTTCCTAATGATGGACTATGACTCAAATATTTGACAACGACTTTATTATATAGACTTTCCATGCATTGGGAGGCCAAAGAAAAGATATAATATTGAAGTTTTCTCTAATTGTTGCTTGAATGCAAATAAACAAGTGAAAAATCCAAGTTCAGGCATACAGATATATAAAGAGATCGTAAATATTTTATTCATTGATTATATTACATTGCATTGGATTTTGAATATTTGAATTATTTTAGGATATTTCAGATATTATTCCGTTATCTTATTTAAATAAACTATCTTAAGTGTGGTGTACTAGTTTGACTAATTAAGTATAGGTTTATAACTTTACTCAATCTTATTTAATTAAATAAATAACCTTGATAAGAGGTTACTAGAGAGAGATGGTTGTTCTCAGTTATTATCATTGTGCCTACACACTATTTATTAGAAGATTTCTTGACATACTTTTCTGTGGCTTCTATTTTAGACAATGAACATTGTGGATCTAGCTACTTCACATAGCGATAATAGAGGTATTTTAGGGTCTTCGTCTGCTGAATTGGGGGGTATATGCTTGTACTCTTGCTATCCTTAATATAATATAATACATAATTAACTAATTTGAGTATATTAAAAATGTTAATTAAATTAGTTAATATGATATATTTTTTGTAAAACACTCTAATCATCTTTAATTCCCTCCTTCTCCTTCCTACTTGATTATTATTGAGGGAATATTAATAGAGTTAATTTGAAAAAAAAATTGATAAACATGTGAAACAAGTCTTATATATAAGAACAACATCAACCTTCAAATTAACTCTTACATTAAGGATGGAGGGGTATTTGATTTTGTTTATATATATACATATATACATATATGTAGAGAGAGAGAGAGAGAAATATAGTGTATACATAATGAAAATAAGGGCAGGAATGATGAACTTAACTGGGAATAGGTAAGATCAGTTATGATTAGTAAGTGAGGGTTCACTTTTTAAACCTAAAGTTTTATAAATTGCTGTAAAGAGGATGATGGTTTACTACCAAATTGGTTGACAAATGAACAATTTTTCTGAGAAAGGAAATGAAATCAGAAAGTGGGGGCGAGGCAGAGCAGTTGAATTTTACATCAAACTTTATTGACTTGCTATCATCAACGAACGTACCCAACTGTTTTAATCTCACCCTATAAACCTCAACCACACATGTGGCCTAATTCCTCGTAAAACGTAATTAATTTCCTACTCAGTCTCGTACAGATTGTTATAGAAGAGCTCGTGTGATATCTATTCTCTCTCTATCAAATAAAAGATCCGGAGAATATGGCATCTAATAGCCCTTGGCCAGTCGATCATTGTTAATGTCAAATATACATGCAACAATTTAATAATATATTTTGTTATGTATTGTTATAAAATATAAAATAAATATGAAGTTTTATTTGCAAGTTCTAAATAGAGCAGCTTATTTACTATATTTTATGTAATATTGCAAGAAAACATGTTTGATTTTAGGTCAAAGTATTTTTATTATACATATAATTTAGAGAAAGTCACATTTTTTTAACCCATGCTTTTAACTAATTTCAAGATACAAGTACAATTTTTTAACAAGATTTATATTCATAACGTATTATCGTAGCCTAAAATTAGTTTTTTTGTTGGTGCTTCTTTAATCTAAAGAGACTATTGCTCAATTTCTTTTTATGATTGCTTTCTACAACCTCTTGCTGTTGCATGTCTTAGAAAATTAATCTTTCGGTCCTTAAACTTTTAATTCACTCATAACTTAGTTCATCAACTTTTGACTCAATTAAAACTCAGATCTTAATCTCTTAATCATTTCATAATTTTATGTTTATTACACATAAGTCATCATGAGTCAGCATTGAGGCATCCCGTATGGCAAGAAAATATCAATGATAGTGTTAAAAATTGCGTAACGAAATGCACAATAGTAATCCATTAAGATGATAGTTTTTATCTATCTGGATTGCTCTATACAAGTAGTCCTCCTTTAAACTATAAAAGCATTGCGTTACGCAATTTTCAACACTATTATTAATATTTTTTTTTGCCATACCCGATGTCTCGATGCTTATCCATCATGATGAGTTATGCGTAATAAAGATAAAATTATAAAATGACTAAGAGATTAAGGATTGAGTTTTAAGCGAGTTAAAGTTGAGAGAATAAATTATACCGAATCAAAATTGAAGTACTAAGTTATGAGTACTACTCTGGTCCTATTTATAGGGCAGAGATAAAAAATATATTTTGATCTTATTTATAGGGCATTAGGAAAAAAATTTTGTATTGATTTACAATTTTACCCTCCATTTATTATTTTGTTGACTTTGTTTATATGAGGTATAATGTATATTAAATAGAGACAAAGTTAGAAAGTTCTTGAATTTTAAATGAGAATTAATGGAGTTTAAGATTTTCTTTAATATGCGTGAAACATATTAGAAGTGACTCATAAATAAAAGCAGAGGAGTAAGTTAAAAGTTTAATGACCAAAAGATTAATTTTCCCAGCATATTTGTATACAGGCTACTTTAGAAAATCTATAAAGCATTAAATGATTTTTTTTAAAAACAAAATTTGCCCTTATTTTCTCATAAATCATGTTTAACGACACCATATTTTCCAATAGATTTTTTTTTTCACTTTTCTAATAGTGGTAGCCATGCATATCACTACTACCATTGGGTTTAGTTCCCTGAATAAATTTTGGTGCATGGGAACCAATTTTACGGATTGAAAATTTTAATTCGAAAAATAACTTTACTAAATTGAAAAGGCACTGACAACTGAGGGTTCCAGATTCTAGAGAACATAAATCACTATTTTGAGATAAGTATGAAACACATAATTAAGGTGGGGTGAGAAACACTACAAAAAAATAGACTTTAGGCGACGACTTTCGGCGGCGACAAAAAAAGTCGCCGCGGAAAGTCCACTTTCGGCGGCGACAACAAAAGTCGCCGCTGAAACCAAGACTTTCAGCGGCGACAAAAGTGTCGCCGCCGAAAGTCGACTTTCAGCGGCGACTTTTCTAGTCGCCGCCGAAAGTCGACTTTCCGCGGCGACTTTTCTAGTCGCCGCTGAAAGTTCGCCATTGAAACCAAGACTTTCAGCGGCGACAAAAGTGTCGCCGTCGAAAGTCGACTTTCAGCGGCGACTTTTCTAGTCGCCGCTGAAAGTTCGCCATTGAAACCAAGACTTTCAGCGGCGACTTTTTTTGTCGCCGCCAAAAGTGGACTTTCAGCGGCGACTTTTTTGTCGCCACTGAAAGTATAATATAATAATATATATTTTATTTTACAATATTAATAAACAAATTGCCGAAAATGGACCTTCAGCGGCGACTTTTTTTGTCGCCGCCGAAAGTGGACTTTCAGCGGCAACTCTTTTGTCGCCGCTGAAAGTATAATATAATAATATATATTTTATTTTACAATATTAATAAACAAATTGCCGAAAATGGACTTTCAGCGGCGACTTTTTTTGTCGCCGCCGAA